ATACTTTTTTTTTATAATTCAAACGTCTTAGTATACGATCATTTTATTGAGTTCATACTTCTACACGTTTAGCAAAATGTATTTTTGGTTCTTTTGTTCTAAGTTGGGCATGATGGGTTTGAGATTTTTCTTCCTCAGTCGATCTATTACGGCAGTCAAATAGAGGTTCTATTCTTTCTTGCAGTTTAACAAATACTTTCTGCTATACACTCGTGCAGGTAATGAGGGCCGTGAGTATGTTCTGCGGCGAATTCTTCGTCGAGCAGTCCGCTATGGAAAGGAGATTCTAAAAGCTGAGGAAGGGTTTTTCAACGGGTAGGAATTACATTTGATTGTCGTTTCATCTTTTGTTTTAACATTATTTATTTGGCTCGAACATGTTCTCTCTGTTTTATATCTTTGTAAATGCAGCACATGTTTCGATACATAACTTAGCTTTGACTGTGTTTTTCACTGATCAGTTTGTGCGTTTCACATGTAGGCTCGTAAGTTCTGTTATTCGGGTGATGGGCGATGTCTTTACAGAGTTGAAGGAACACGAGAAAAAGATCACAGAGATAATAAAAGAAGAGGAAGCAAGCTTTTGCAAGACCTTGGCAAAGGTGAGGGCTGGATTTGAATTCCGTAAAACCTTTAAACTTTTGTCCTTTTGTTTTGTTTTGGGCTCTGCTGGCTCTTTGTGCTGAAGTTTTAGAAACAATTCACAACTTCAGTGTCAATGACACATCTTTTACTTTTGTGTATATTGTTTCCAATTTCACCATCATTTAGTTTTAGGGATGGTGGTTGGACATGATTCAGCATACCATCTACAGGGAATCTTTTTCTGAAAGATGAATTAGTTTGACTTGGTTGTCCTTATATTGGCTTCGTTATATAGGCGAGTATAAGAATAGTTAGATTGATATAAGTTTTCATGGCAGGGAATTGAGAGATTTCGGAAAGCTGGACAGGGAGTTCAGGGGAATACACTGAGTGGAGAGGTACGTATCTAAATGTTTTTCTGCTGTATGTTCGATTTTGCAGTATATTTGGAACACTCTGTGATCCTGGAATTTCCATCTTTAACCTATTGTCTTCTCTTTGCAGGATGCTTTTGTCTTATGGGATACATATGGTTTCCCATTAGATTTGACTCAGGTACGTAGAACACTTGTTTTTATTTCTGAAAGTTTGTGTTATTTTCTTATAACTTTCGTTCGTGGGTTTCAGTTGATGGCTGAAGAAAGAGGGTTGCTGGTTGATGTTGATGGTTTCAACAAAGCCATGGAAGAGGCGAGGGAAAGATCAAGAAGTGTCCAGAATAAGGTGTTTCAACTTTTCTTTTATCTTTTACTTAAAGAGTATTTGACGCTAAACTTAACGTGGGACTATATTTGAACATACATTATCTATTAACTTATATTTTAATGTCAATTTTTGGTAGCAAGCTGGTGGTGCCATCATTATGAATGCTGATGCTACATCAACATTGCACAAGACTGGTGTGTTGGCAACAGATGATTCTTCTAAATACATTTGGTTCCAGGTTTGTCCTATTTATTCCAGAAAAGTTGCATGTTGCGCCTGAATTGTTTTTATGTTGGCTAGAAAGACAGTAGTTTGGGCATTGAGTAGTAATTGGTTTCTGCTTCAAATAAGCCTCTGTTGAGTAATTACCCTGCCACGATTCGCCACAGGATCACAAGAGTGAAGTAAAGGCTATCTACACTGGCTCTGCTTTCCTGGAAAGTGCAGCTGCTGGTAATAACGTGGGACTAGTGTTGGCGTCTACAAGTTTCTATGCCGAGCAGGGTGGTCAGGTAATACATTTCATCTCACTTGTAATTTAATTTGCTAATTGTTTTTCAATCATATGACTGGTTGCACGATACTGCATTCTTCTCTGTGTAGACCTGACAGTAAGACCATGAACACTATCATATTAGAACTGTATAATTTGACTTACGTAATGGTTGGCAAATATCATGATATAGTTATTGTCGGTTTTGCAAACTAATTTTCTAAGTAATTGTTGACAGCCGCATATATATTATAGATTTAATATCCATGAATACGGTCTAGCTTTTGATACACTTCCCACTATATGTATGTAAAATTTGCGCCCCTAACATTTTACTGTGACAATAGATTTTTGACACAGGACTTATTGAAGGCGCATTTGGTACATTCAATGTATGCAATGTCCAAATATTTGGGGGCTTTGTTCTTCATATTGGTTATCTCTCTAAAGAAACTGGAGAGGTATCTCTGGGGGATAAAGTGACTTGCAAGGTAACGCTCTGCATCATACAGTGTTTTTATAATTCAGATTATTTGGTACTATCTTAATTGTTTTCATCGTCGTTTTCTGTGCGTTTAGGTTGACTACAAGAGACGTGAACTCATAGCTCCTAATCATACTTGTACACATATGCTGAATTTTGCCCTGAAGGTATCCTTTTTCTATAACTAAAAAGCTGGTAAACGGTAATCTACTATTTCTTAGAAATGATTTCAAAACATTCATGTGCCATGAACGCAGGAAGTACTCGGGGATCATATTGATCAGAAGGGATCAATAGTTCTTCCTGAAAAACTGCGATTTGATTTTTCCCACGGTACATTCTTCAATATGTCATTTTTATTTTGATGTGGATGGTCATTTCAAGTGTCTAATGGGTTCCATAATTCCGAGTAGGCAAACCGGTTGATCCTGAAGATTTGAGAAAGATCGAATTGATAGTGAATAAACAGATCAAGGATGAATTGGATGTTTTCTCCAAGGAAGCAGTGCTTTCTGACGCCAAGCGCATCAAAGGTCTAAGAGCAGTGTTTGGAGAAGTAAGCTGTCCATCAGTTTTCTTGCTATGCCTTTTTTTAGTTTGTTTTCTATGAGTTGTTAAAGCATTTTCTCTTGTTGTATTTAGGTCTACCCTGATCCTGTCAGAGTGGTGTCAATTGGGAGAAAGGTCGAGGACCTCTTGGCTGATCCTGAAAACAATGAATGGTCATTGCTTTCTTCCGAGTTTTGTGGAGGTCAGTTTCCATTATCATTAGCTACTGGGACCAAGCGATTTATTTTTCCTAATGGAGTATTGAGTATCGGGTTTATTTTGAAAATTCCAGGTACCCACATAACAAACACCCGCGAAGCCAAAGCGTTTGCTCTTCTATCGGAGGAGGGAATTGCTAAAGGTATTCGTAGGGTAACTGCTGTGACTACTGAGTGTGCTTTTGAGGCATTGGACATGGCAGCCTTTCTTGAGAAAGAAGTTGAGGATGCATCCAAAGCGGAAGGGAGTGCATTGGAAAAGGTTCTCATCCCTCTCAAAATCTGAAACAATCTACCTCCCTAATGGAAACTTAATGTGTTCAATTTTTGCATCTTCGCAGAAAGTAGCTGCTTTGAAGAGCCGGGTAGACGCAGCAGTTATCCCAGCAGCCAAAAAAGCAGATATAAGGGCCAGCATTGTTCTGCTTCAAGTAAACTTTTTTAGCTTTACTCTTAGCCTTTGGTTATATTTTCGCTTACTTTCTGGAATAAGAATTAAGGGAGTATTAAAGTGGCATTTTTCTTTTCCACATTGCAGAATGAGGTGAGAAAAGCTCAAAAGAAAATAGCGGAGCAAAACCTGAAGAAATCTGTCGAAGTAGCAACAGAGGCAGCGGAGACAGCAGCATCTGATGGGAAGACGTTCTGCATTATCCAGCTTGATGTGGGTCTTGATGCAGCAGCCGTGCGAGAGGCCGTTTCAAAAGTCATGGCAAAGAAGGTAAGTCCCTATTTACATATAAGGCACATCATTTCTCTACAAGCTATCGATGAAGTTAAATAATGGTTTTCTTGTTTGCTCTTGAATTTTGCAGGGAATGTCGATAATGGTTTTCAGCACAGATGAAATCACAAACAAGGCGGTTGTGTGTGCTGGAGTTCCAGAAAAATCTGACAAGTTCAAGCAATTAGACGTCACTGAGTGGCTCACAACGGCATTGGGTCCTCTAAAAGGGAGATGTGGGAAAGGAAAAGGTGGTCTTGCATCTGGACAGGTTATGTGATCTTATCCTCTTTCTCTTTAGACTCCAATGGAGGTTTCTGCTATACAGAGAGATCTGAATATTCTGACTTGTTGTTTTGGTTTCAGGGAACGGATGCTTCTCAAGTGAAGGAAGCTTTGGACATGGCATCATCTTTCGCATCATTGAAACTCAACTGAGTGGTCTGGAGTTGACAATTTGTGTGGGCAGAACCCATTTGATATCATTGTATACATTTTTAATTTTTATACATCTTTTCAGAATTACTTAATTTTCTTAATTCTCTTGTTAGTCATACTCAAAGTTAGTAGTAAGCGACTGGTGTTATGTTCCGTTTTCGGTTTGGCTTTTATATTTTACCAAGTAATCCTAACTGCTTCCATTGTCATGCGATGTTTTTAGCTTCTCGACTCTACGTTGGATCTTGTTAACCGGTGATTGTTCTCATAGCCTATGGTATGGAGATATTAATTAGGTTTTGATCGTGGAACTGCTATTTTTTTGTGATCAAATCTGGGATTATAAGGTCTAGTGTTAAATCAATACGGGAAGATAACGAGTTTAATAATCTTTTAGCCAATAAAACTTTTAGATTGTAAAGCTTTATCACAGCAAATCGTAAAATTCAAATCTCTTTACTCTCAATTATGTAATCTTGATTTGAAATCAAATTAAGTTTTTTAAAGACAGTTTTTAAATTAAGGAAAATGTAATTTGGAAAAAAAACAATTTAAAAAAAAACTAAATGAAGTAAAACAAAGGAAAAGAAAACTTGAAACAAGAGAGGGATCAGATGATAAGAGAATTGGAGTGCCCAATTGTCGTAACAGGCTTTGAGCGGAACACTCTTCAAGCAATTTATGCAAGATTAAGCCCATTCCTCATTTCCCCTTTAACTTGCCTGAAGGATCATACGTTTCGATGGTGGAACCTCTTCTTGTTTTATAGGCCCAGTCGTTATTACACACCTCTCCACACAACCGATGTGGGACAAACTGAAAATTATCTCGTCACATGTTTCGAAACTGTACTCAGAGAAGATACCACCTGGAAGTCTGTGTTCTGCGAGGAAAGATGGATCGACAATCTTCGGAGACTGGTCATCACCAGAAGATCCCTTGGATTGCATTGTCCAACGGGGAAGTCCCAAAGTACTCAAGTCAAGCTTCGTTCTTGGATCAAGATCTGAAGGCAGACCTCATCGTCATTGCTTCCATATCACGTTTGGAAATATAGAGTTTCCCCTTGACGAACAAGTCTAGAGTCATCATCAGCTTTAGGTTCCCAATAGATGATTTAACCTCCTTCACATTTGTCAGTCTCAAACTAAAGTTTCTTAAATGAACGAGGTCTCCAACATCATCTGGTAACTTCCCCCTCCTTCGATTTAAATTATAATTTTGTTATTTTTCCTTTTCTAATAATAGTTTTTAAACTAATTTTATGTGTTAACATATTGGATAAGGAAAAAGTTCGAAACCAGCAGCCTATTAAATAGGTGAAGAGGACGACATGCTAAGCTTATAACTGAAGTACAACCTCTATATTCGTTGTTAGATCCGCCTCTCTCTCTCTCTCTCTCTCTCTCTCTCTCTCTCTCTCTCTCTCTCTCTCTCTCTCTCTATTTCTCTCTCTCTACCGCTACCAATGACGATGGAGAAGTGGAGAGATCTTCCGAGGGATTTGGTAGAGGAGGAGATAGTGACTCGTGTTCCGGCTACGCATCTGAAAGATTGGGATCTACTTGTAAACTATGGAACCGTATGTTTAACGGTGACCGGAGATTCGCTAAAGCACAGTGACGAAGCGGCAAAGCAGTTTATGGTTCTGTTGTTGAGGAGGACCTTGAGGATTAGTCCGGCAATCGTCGATCTCGACGGAAAGGTTCCATCTTTAGAGGCAAAACTGAGGTTAGCCCTTGTCGATCCGCATCCCAAGATCCTGCTGCTCAATCTGCTCAATTCGATGTAGGCAGAGTCTTTCACTGTGACGGCCTCTTGTTATGCACCTCCGCCGACGAATCTAGATTCGTGGTTTGGAACCCATTTACTGGCGAGACCAGGTGGTTCCTACCCAGCTATCGTACGGAAAGAACGCCATTTTGCTCTGGGATACTACAAAGAAGGCAACAATAAGAGGTACAAAGTGTTGAGCTTTTATCATTGGTCATGATTTGAGATGTACGAGTTCGGCTCTGATTCGTGGAGGGTTGTTGATGATATCATGGATCCTGGCTGGCATATTGGATACTGTCGCACAACGTGTCTTTGAAGGGAAGTATGTACGGGTTCGCCCAAGATGAAAACAAAAACGCAATCCATCGTGTCCTTGGTCAGATTTGATTTCTCAACAGAGAAATGTGTGCCTGTGCCTCTTCCCTATCAGCGTAATCTTTTGATGTTACAGGTCTTTCCGTTGTTAAAGACGAGAAACTTTCGGTCTTGTTACAGCTCGAAGACATCCAAGACTGAGATATGGGTGACAAATAAGATTGGAGACCACCCAAGCTGGTGTCGTGGAGCAAGGTCTTAGCATTTGATATGAGCCCTGGTCTTCAACTTGCTTACGAGGCAAGGTTCTTGCTCGACGACGAGAAGAAAGTCGTCATGCTTGCTCTGAATTGATTGACTTTAAGACGAGACCAAGAGCAGAGACATGATATACATTGTTGGGGAGGACAATGAAGCCACACAAGTGGATTTGGGACCAGCGAAAAGGATGATTTCGGGTAGATATTCTTCATTATTCTCCGAGTTTGGTTCAAATCGAGCGAGCTGGAGGCAAAAGGAAGAGCTGACATGTAAATCTCATTTCTTGTTGTTGTAATCTCAAAAGTTAAAAATGTACAAGATTTTTATCTTAATCCTTGATGCTTTTGAGCTAAGATAAAAAAATCTTGTCATCATGTCCAAAGTTTCAAGCTTTTCCCAATTCTGTGACGAAAGTGGTTCATAAAAACATGTACAAACCAGTGCATTCACCTTTGGTGAAATTGAAGAAGAGAGGGTGATATTGCGGATGGCAATCATGTGTTGAAGAATCAAGAAGCGAAGCGCACTTTGCATCTAGTTTAAAGAGACAGCCCTGCTCGCCGCATTGGTACATGCATGAAACCACAACCATCTCGACCACAACCATTGCATGTGAACAACCAGTGCCAAAATATTCAGGCTCGAGTAGGTAAGCCTTGAAAGATAAGAGATGGAAGAGGACAAGCGGGTGTTTGTGTAAGGGATGGTTCATTTTACGAGGAAGGTTTGCACATTTTTCATGGAGAACAAAGTCACATCTGATACAACTATAGTAGCTATCTAAAACTGTTGTCGGAATGATGCAGGCTACTTCCAGTACTGTATGTATTAACAATAATAGTTTATTATAGAGGTTTTAGAGACATTAATGCAAGAAAGATCAAACTCTAACAAATGAAAGATCAGAAACTCTAACCTTAATATCTCATAACATCCAAATCCTCAAAGGTCGCAATACTCAAAAACGACACAAGCCACATGTTGAATCTTGTAGAAATCTTCACCACCAGAGACCAGCCTATCTTTAAATGCTTTTGTCATGTTCCCGATTTCCACTTCTTGTAGATTCTTCAAGAATCTCATTCCTTCAGGAAGCAACTTCAATCTCTTACAACACTTCAACTCCAAAGAGACAAGACGCATCATGGCACCATCTTCCACAGTCCACTCTTCTAGATTCTCAAGTTGAGACAATGTCAAAGAATACAGTTGAGGGAAACCATTTCTGGAACAATGAAGTTTACTACCAATAAATGATCCTTCAAACAGTTGAAGAATCTTTAAGTTTGGAAGCTTCTCAAGCACCAGAAATGGATCATCGACTAATCCGCATTGCCACAAACGCAAGGCACCGAGATCAGAGGAGAAGCTCTGTTCGACAGGGAGCTTTTCTAGTTTAAGGAACAGTTCCAGCTCAGAGAGATTAGCAAATGCAGAAACCAACTGTGTTACATCAACTGGTGGAAGCATAGGTTCGCAGGGAACGTTTATCGTCAAGCCACGGAGACGTTTCAAAACTGTAATCAGAGAAGACACCACCTGGAAGTCTGTGTTCTGCGAGGAAAGATTGATCGACAATCTTCGGAGACTGGTCATTACCAGAAGATCCCTTGGATTGCCTTGTCCAACAGGGAAGTCCCAAAGTTGTTGCAGGTTTCTCAAAGTACTCAAGTCAAGCTTCGTCCTTGGATCAAGATCCGAAGGCAGACAAAGATGTCTCAGCCTTCGTAGCTTCCATATCACGTTTGGAATATAGAGTTTCCCCTTGACGAACAAGTCTAGAGTAATCATCAGCTTTAAGTTCCCAATAGATGATGTAACCTCCTTCACATTTGTCAGTCTCAAACTAAAGTTTCTTAAATGGATGAGGTCTCCAACATCATCTGGTAACTTCCCTCCCTCGATTTGAGCTCCTTCAAGATCAAGAACCCTAAGGAGTTTCATCTTTCTGAAGGAAACTTTCCCCACAAGTTCCCATTGACTTCCTTGGTTTTTCATGAAATACACAAGAGACCTAGACCGAGGATTTACATTGTTCACCTGAGAAAGTCTCTCGATCCGGTGTTCCTCAGCACCACCATGCAGTTGTACAGAGATTCTACGTGATGCATTCGTCAAGAGAGACGGGAACGCCTCAGCTTCATCTTGTTGCCTTGAATCAATAACTTGCACAAAGCTTTCTTGTTCTGCTTTCTGTAAACAAACCTCCCTCATTAGGTCATGCATACGACAAGTCATAACATCCGAGGTTACAATGTCCCTGTTTCCAACCATCACCATGCTTCTCTTTACTAACTCTTCAACGTAATCTTGCCCAATATCTTCAACAGCCATCTCAGTTTCCGTGTGTTTTACAGGCAAAACCATTCCTTCAGCGATCCAGTAACTAACCAACGTTCCCACATGAACCTCATAATCTTCAGGATAGTGAGCAAAGTATAGGAAACACTGCTTTAAATGGGGAGGCAAGTCCTCATAACTCAAGGACAAAACATCTGCAACCATCATGTTCTTACTTCCACTGCAAGTACCTCCATTTGAAACATATGATTTGATGTTCTCTTGCACTCTTTGCCACTCATTCAACGTACTTTTCATCGCCAAAAGTCCTCCTAGAACTGTTATAGCTAGTGGTAAACCTCCACACCTTATGACCATCTGCTTCCCAATCTCCTCCAGTTTCTTGACCAACATTGGCTCTAAAAACATGGTAAATAAAAGTCTGAATATTGTAAACTATGGTAACGTCAAATGAATATCCAAATGATTACCTAAATTCTCTCGTCCCCCTAATGAAATTTTCTCCAGAAGCTCCCAACTCTCTTCATATGATAGCAATTTCGGCTCATGAAGTACACCTCTCGGATCAGCATATAAAGCAACCTCTTTGTTCCGCGTGGTGAGTATTATGTTGCTTCCTGCAGTATTGTGAACAAAGTTTTTTACTTAATCATCCTTTGAAATAATAGAACAATAGCAAGTTACCTGTTTCATGTGGAAAGACTTGTTTCAGACAATCCCAAGCATGAGTGCCCCAGATATCATCAAGCACAACGAGGCATTTACTCCTTTTCAAGAAACGATGCAACTCTTCTCCAAGCTGTTCATCTCTCAAGCCAAGTATCCTCTGGTTCTCATCTTTATAGCTGAGGTTTAAAAGAATCTCTTGCCAAACATGCCTCCGTCTAAACTCTTGAGAAACATATACCCAAGCAAACCTATCGAAATGACGCCTCACTGTACGGTGATGGAAGATCTGCTTGGCTAGAGTTGTTTTCCCCAAACCACCCATTCCGCAAATGGACATGACCCTAAGTTTCTCACCACCGGAGACTAAATCATTCACTAACTTCTCAAGACTCTTCTCTAAACCAACAAGATTGTGCTCAACGGCATATGGAAACGACTGCCTCTGTTCTCTTTGACTATTAGACAAACTCAAACCTTCTTCGTCCATTGCTTCTTTAATACCATAGTCTCGCATGCTTGCTGCTATCTTAGAAAGCCTGGAGGTGATCTCTCTAATCTCCGAGACAACATTACGATGTGAAAGCCTGCAAGCAAGCCTCCTAAACACCTTTTTGATCCCTTTTTCTTTCTTTGGTTCTGCCTTGAGGAAGAATGCCTCGAGGACATCCTCTGCATCATAAGCAGCTTCTCTAATGCCTGCAACCCAGTTACGCACTCTCTCGCTTTTGTGCTGCTTCTCATCTGCATCTTGCAAGAAACACCTCAAACGCTTCAGTTCGTCTTGCAGCTGCTTCATCTGGTCACCTATACCAAAAAAGAACAGCGGTTGTTCCAAGAGCAACTCCCCTAGCTTCTGCACTGTAACAGAAACAATAGCCTCTGCCATTTGCCTGTTCTTTTGATTCACAACTGTGAAACTCCCAATTCATACACTATAATAGTCAAATATCAACTATCATGGCACAAGATTCCAAGTCAACTCAATCATAACATTTTTGTTCGCTTTACGATTTTCAACTCTCAGGTTCATGTGAACATAAATGGTTCTTTTGTGTTGGCCCATGAATCACCACATCCACATATTCATCCATCACTTTGGTCGGAGACTTTCAAAAGTCTTCTTATCTCCTACACGAGTTCTCTGCCTCGTGATTAAATAATAAAATAAGTGAATGCATATACATGAACTTATTTTCTTTAAAAATATGAATCGTTGCTGATATACAAAAACACCAAATTTCGATTAATTTGTTGATAGGAGTGAGAGAGACAACACTTAACAGATAACTCTTATTATATTCTGTCTTTACAAACTGGTGTGCAACAAGAACGTGTACTAACTGATGAGTATGAACAATAATACAATATGCCTCTTTATTTTTGTTTTCCCTCATCCGCAAGGATAAGAGAAAACCAGCAGATTTACAAAAAAACGTTCTTACATTTGAACCTAAGAACTAATGTAGAGCTTGCACTTGTTTGTTCCAGCACAAACCAGACACTCGTCTGCATCACCTTCAACGTGGCTCAGGCAATGTTGGATTCTGTCGTCCACAACGTCCTGCAGAAAGAAACATTAGCAGCTCAGTGAAAGATCAATAGCCAAAAGAGGAACAGATAAACTTCTGAAGGTTCAAAGGGGAAAAACATTCACTGATGCATGAGGGTGGTCAAATCCCTCAGGCTGTAAAAAACATTTTTTGTTTTGGTTCTTACAATGAGGAGATTATGGAGGCCGAGAGGTGCAGTTATGAGGTATGAGATGCCAGAGAAGTCCTTTGCAGCATCAGCCGTCAACGACGGAATGTCCTTGATCAAACAAGAGCCATAGTAACACCATGTCATTAAGTAGACCAACTAAAAGGTTAAAGAAACATACAAAATTGAGATGCACAAGGCCATACCTGATGCCAATGTCTTCCAGGAAACAGGAAAAATGGGCTAACAACTACACGTTTGGCCCCTTTTTGTACACACGAACTGAATGCACTTTTTATAGATGGCTCAGCCAATTCCTAGCGTAAAAATGAACATCAGAAACTACCAAAATAAAAGTAAAAAAGAAAAATATCAGATTTGTAACAAATTCATAAGTATGCATTAGGAAGAATTATTACCATATGGGCAGGCTCCACAATTGGGTATCCGGTTTTGTCTTTGAACATTTTCACAAACTCCTCTGAAACTCAGAAACAAACCTCATATGAAGGGAGAGGATAATAGACGATTCAATAAAGAAGAAGATGTAATTACCAAGCATTAAATTGGATTCCCGGCGACGAGAACCGTGATCGACGATTATAATCCCATCACCATCACTGATCCCATTTCTGAGCAACCCGCCATTCTCGAAGCTCCCCAAACACGGCGATCCTCTTCTCCTTACTCGTTGGGGTCGAAATTTCTCTACTTTTAAGGAACCTGGCAAAGCCCATGGCCGATTCGTTCGCGGAATTTCACAAGAAGAAGATGAAACACGAGAATTCGCTCTGAGATTGCTAGAAACAGAGAATGGAGGACAATTTTCAGAAGAGAGCAAAAAACAAGAGAAGGAAGCATTATATAAGGAAAACGATTAAGAACCGTTGAGAGGCGAAGCTGTGACCGTGAGAGAGGTTCACCAAGAACTGCGACTGAGTCGGAGTCGCCGCCATTAAACTGAATAGTTTTGTCGGATTGACTTTCGATTTCTCACTTCACTGATGAAATAAATAAAAACAAATCAAACAAAATTAATATAAGATGGGCCGAGGTTTATGTAAAAAATGAGTACTGATCTTTAATTAAGCGTTTAATGGGCCTATACTTTCAAGCCCATATAAAAATAAAAACAAAATTATTACAAACGCCACGTCACCAAGTCGGGAACTCATCTCCGGAACCTACGAAGATCCGAGTTCGGTCTCTCTCTCGCGAGTTTCTCTCCGCTTCACTCTAAAATTGATTCGACGTCACAAATCCTCTGTTTCATCTTCCTTCTCCAACTCTGATTGTAATCTGTTAACATGGAATGAGCAGAATCGATTTTCATCTGATTAATTTCAATCCAGGTAACGAAATATGAGGAGAAGCCTTCCATTTTGTTCCTTACCCAAGTTTTCCTAATTTTTTCCCTCAAGTTAGGTTTTTTTCGTATTACACTGAATTAAGTGAAATATCCAATATTTGTTTTGCAGTGATCTTTGGAAGGAAAGAAGGAAATTAATTTGCGATGTATACGAGGTTAATAAGAAGGAACCAGAGATTGGGTTTTGTATTCAAGCAAGACAAATGCTTAGCTAAGCCAGCGACTCGTGACTTCACCGCTTCTCCATCTTATAGATTAGCAACCATACTAACAAATCATTTCACAAGAAAGTATCCATCTTGCGGCGCTATTCCCAGCCAATTGCGTCGGTTTAGCTCTGAAGGTGATGGAAGAAACGCTAGCGAGGATAAACAATTCCCTCTTAGTAAAGAAAAGTCTGGAAAGGAGAAGAGCGCTCTTGGAGTTGAGCATTTTGATTCTCACGCTCAGCTTGGAGAGCAGGACCAGATAGATTGGCTCAACAACGAGAAGCTTGCAAATGAAAGCAAAAAGGAGTCACCTTTCCTCCGTAAACGAGAGAGGTTGAAGAATGAGTTCTTGCGGAGGATTCAACCTTGGGAAACTATACAGCTCTCTTGGGAGTCCTTTCCTTACTACGTCCAGTAATAATAATAACCAAACTACAATTTTCAATCTTTTATCTTGTTTCTGTTAATGTTGCTGATATGTTCTGTTCTTGCTCATTTTTTCCCTCAGCGAACACACAAAAGATACTCTGGTGGAATGTGTGAGCTCACATATAAAACAGAGAAATGCGGCGTCTACTTATGGAGCTCGTTTGGATTCTTCAAGTGGGAGAATATTGCTCCAGAGTGTTCCAGGTTTGATGTCGTTCTTCTTTTATATCAAACTATATAACTTGGTGAGGAAGTAAGGTTACCATAATGGTTTTGATTATACAGGCACTGAGCTCTACCGAGAGAGGTTGGTTCGAGCACTTGCTCGAGATGCAAAAGTTCCTCTGTTGGTTCTTGACAGCAGCGTTCTTGCCCCTTACGTGAGATTCTGATGTTTGTTTGCTAAGATATGCTATTTTTATTTCATGAATGTTAGCGTGATCTTTGTTGATTTCTCTTCAGGATTTTGCTGATGACTACAATGAAGAGTCTGAATCGGATGATGACATTGCGGAATCAGAGTCAGAAGCTGAGGAAGAAACTGATGCAAACAATGACGAGACGAGTAGCAGTGAGGCGAAAATAGATGGGACTGACGATGAAGAAAGATATTTAGAGATTTCTAGGGAAGTCCTCAAGAAACTTGGGACCGACATTGAGGACATCGAGAAGGTATGATCTTTTTATGTGAATAATTGTTTTGCCTTTCCCTATGGACGATGTGAATCTCGGTGACTTCACATTGCATGCCATTTGGTTGCTATGTCTTTGGTCTACACGATGTCTACTCTTTTTGTTTCTGATCGGTAGAGTTTTGAAATGCTGTACATTTGTTTATGTGCTCTACATTGTGACAGAGAATGTCTGCACAACTACTGGACTCGTCTGAGGTATCAAAAGCTGCAGTTGCTGCTGATCATTGTGATAAAGCCAAGCGGCCTTTTAAGAAAGGTAGCCAACTCTCAAGCATGTTCACCTTACTCTTTTGCTTCAAAGGATGTCTGTTTAACTGGTTGGATAGTATTGTATCACTGTCAAGTCACTATGATGTTTCTTCATCAGTTTATGTTTATAGTGTATCCGTTTGATCAATGGGCCTGGTGTGTGTTAATAACTTTTCTTTGTGCTAGTTTGTCTCACTGGCCTCTGAATTTTTACTCTTTCATTTCTCATATGTTTAATCTGTCCACATGTTTGCAGGTGATCAAGTTAGGTATGCTGGGTCTGCTAAGAAGGGCGAAGCAAAGCATAGGTAATTCACTGATTCACTTCTGCGGGATTCTGTTTTTGCCTTTACTTGTGTTTAAAGATTTGAAATGTTTGCCTGGATATAGCTCTACTGAAATGCAGCTCAATGGAGGATTTTTTCTATCAACTTGTTATGGCAGAAAAAAATAGCTGTTTAGCTTTTGCATAATGTTAAAGAATATCTGTCTTCATTTTCGTATGATCCTCTTTGGAACATATTTACTTTTAGTGCTTATACCTCACTCCTGAATGTTATTTCATGAAATTTGTTTCTCTTGTGTTCTGGAGAATCCTTTCAGCTTGATGTCCTTGTTTCATATTTTAGCCATTGATTGTGTTTGCATCTAAGGGGAGGCAAGTTGGTAGTTACTAGTTGGCTTCATAATTGCAGTGTTTCAAAAATATTCTGTCATACAGCTTTGAGATTTTGACTCTGAGCAATGATTGGCTTTGTGATCCATTGTATGTTTTGACAGTTAACGTATACAATGGTAATTGTATATGTAGATACTTATAATTTCCCATCTTTTATGCTCGGTCATGCCGTTGCAGTTCTGTTTCCTGTACTGATATCATTTCTCCCATGTCCAAGTTATTTAATTTAGATTTGGTTCTCAGTTCAAATCCTCTTATCTATTTTAGTCGTCTAAGATACATATCGAGAGTCCATACTTGTTTATGAACTTTGATTTGAATGTGTTTTCGTAGTCTATAAGAGATGTTAACCTGCTAGCAAGTTCACAGTCTGCCTAAACTTTGGAAAATAAGGCATCAAAGGCTTCATCCTATAACGCTGGATATTATAACCAAAGCTAGTAGTAATTATGATGTCTGTATTTGGAGTTGGTGATCGATGTCTGTGTTTGTGATCTGTGCTATCTTCTAGTAACCAAAGCTAGTAGTAATTATGATTCATTTTTATTTTGTGTTGGCTTGTAAATGGATCACAGGTTCGTATTGGGGAAGATTTCTACATCTGATGGTCAAAAAAGTGCTTTTACCCTTATTCCTGGCAGGTGGGTTGGTAAGTCCTCTAGTGTCAAAAATAGATAAATGTCTTGTTACCGTTAGGTTTTAACTTTGATCTTCAAAGTTTCTTTCTGTTTTAATATTTCTTACTCTTCGAGTGGTTGGAAACACCATTGGCTGAAACTGGATGAATGCAGGATTGGCCTTTTTCATATTTGAGTGTACTTCAAGTCGAATTTCATAAATTTCTGACAGCTGATCAGAGATGTAGTACATATATAGTTGATAGTCTGTCTTTTCGAGTCTATCTCATAGTCTGGCTTCCTTCAGATTTTTATGCTTTTCTTTTGTAGATTTTGTCAGTTTCTTTATGACTACATGCTTTGTCATTATATAATAAACTTCTGCTATGGTTATTGCTTTCTGATGTGTTTGTTAGTTCCTCTTTGCATCATAGTTTCTCTAGAAATGATTCTTCCCAGATGTACAGTGCCATTCGCAAGTCTCCCAGTCACTGCTATCTTTCTGTTAATTGATTAATGGGATTGTTTGATCACTGTTACATTCATATTGTTGATATATCTTGAACTCTAAGAGCTCTGAGAAAATTTGACATGTTAAAAGATATATTATGGTCTTTAACAAGAGTTTATATTCTTGCAGGTCGTTGTCTAAAGGACAACGTGGAGAGGTATATGAGGTGAGTGGGAACCGTGTTGCGGTCATATTTGATAGTGGCGACGATAAAACATCAGAGGAAAGTGAGAAAAAGCCAGCAGAGCAGCCCCAGATGTTACCCATCCACTGGCTAAATGGTATAGTTGATTCATAATATTCCTATGGGTGATGTGTCATCTGTGTGAAACAGAAGAAACACTGCTATGTATAAAGACGCTCAACATCATATTTAAATGTGGCTAAAGTAATGTATTTGTTTTTTCTGCGCAGTTAAAGAGCTCAAACACGACTTGGATATGCAGGCAGTAGATGGCTACATTGCCATGCAGGCGTTAAGTGAGGTATATTTGAAAGTTATATTAACTTTTCTTGTTGGTTTTACTCATGTCGTATTGTCTGCTACAGTTATTCCATTATTTTTCTGTCTTTCTAGGTTTTGGAATCCATTCAACCACTTATCGTCTATTTTCCAGACTCCTCACAGTGGTTGTCTAGAGCTGTGCCTAAGACAAGACGAAAGGAATTTATAGACAAGGTTCAGGAAATGTTTGATAAATTATCAGGTCCTATTGTTATGATATGCGGGCAGAACAAGATAGAAACAGGCTCAAAAGAAAGAGAAAAATTCGTAAGCCTGTCAATATCTCTCACTCGCCATTGGTTATTGTTCGGTCTATGTTCTTGATCTGTGGATGAGCAAGTTATTTTTTTGTTGAAAACAGACGATGGTACTCCCAAACTTTAGTCACCTTGCAAAGCTGGTAAGCTAAACATTACAAGTAGCATTTTATCTATATATATATGTGTTTGTTTTTTTATCATGGTGCACTTGTCTTTGCATGAGTTGCTAAGATTCTTCTAATGTCTTCTTGGTCCCTCGATGAAAATCATTCGATAGAACTTGCAAGTTATTTAATATCTTGAACACCCGTTAAAGGGCAGTTATGAATTAGTCAAGTTCTTTTATATATATTGCAAAATGTGCAAGACTGTAGATATGGTTTTGCACATTCCATTCTCCTTGATATGACTCTTGCTTAGTTTGCGGCTGCATATTTTTAAAAGACATTTCATTGCAATGTCATGCTCGTCTTAATATGCCTTTGCGTGTTGCAGCCTTTTTCCCTTAAGGGCCTAACTGAGGGATTCACGGGAAGGAAAAGATCAGAGGAGGATGAGATATACAAGCTTTTCACTAATGTTATTCGCCTACAGCCTCCGAAGGTATGCCTGATGTCATATGAATTATGAAACTTTTAATCACAATCACAATTAGCTATTCCTGCATGACAAAAACAATGTATAAGGAGGCGTAGATGTGCTGTTATACCTAAGTGAGATAGCATAGACTAGTTTGACTGTGTCTCTTGGACTATATCTCTTCTAAACTATGACTTGTTTTTGTGGGCATCAGCCATCTATGAAATGTTTTTATATATTTCTAGAAATTTCATATGATGGGCTCCTAAGGAATCACTCTCGTACTTGATTGCTTCCTTTAAAATTTTGGCGTAGGAAGAAGATACCCTCCAACTATTCAAGAAACAACTTGGAGAAGATAGGAGAATTGTGATATCACGGAGCAATATAAATGAGTTACTCAAGGTATCTGGATGTAGTTTAAATGTCATTTGGAATAACTGAGTCAAATGAGTAATGTGCTGCTTTTCACTAATCGTTGTATCTCAATTTTTTTATGTCCCAGGCACTTGAAGAACATGAGTTATTTTGCACAGACCTATACCAAGTGAACACCGATGGCGTAATATTGACGATGCAAAGTGCGTAACTCAGTATGAACTACTTAGTTATTGTATTTATAAAGTTATCGAAAATTTAAGCACTCTTTTGCTCTAGGCAGTTATCTCTATAGAAAGAATCGGGTTGTTAGGATACTAATGTGAAATATTTGGGAGCCGGAGCACACACTTAGATACTCAAATTTTCCCAAGGGCTGCTTGTTCACTTTTTCTTAAAAGAAGTTAATAAATGTTCTGAGTATATTTAGTTGAGATTGGATACAGTTCCTTCTGGTTGGCGTTTGATATCTGCTGCTTTCTGTTCCTTGTTGGAAACATTTGACTTTATCCCTTGCTTTCTGTGGCGTTTGTGTTTGCAGAAGCGGAGAAAGTTATTGGCTGGGCCAGAAATCATTATCTAGCTTCTTGTCCAGAACCATTGGTTAAAGGAGGCTGCTTGTCTCTGCCTCGTGAAAGGTATGCATGATTGTGGTTATTTATATTATGGATCTGTAGTTTTTTGTTTTGTTATCTTACTATTTTTTTTCCTTTTTTCAAGCCTTGAGATTTCAGTTGAGAGATTAAGAAAATTAGAAGATAATTCCCTAAAGCCCTCACAAGACTTGAAGGTTAGTTTCCCTCCCCCTTGGATTCTGGTAAATGGATCTTGAATATATTGAGAGACAATTTCTTCGCAGAATATTGCAAAGGATGAGTACGAAAGAAACTTTGTCTCGGCTGTGGTTGCTCCTGGAGAAATAGGTGTCAAATTTGAGGACATTGGTGCTCTTGAAAACGTGAAGAAGGCATTACATGAGTTGGTTATTCTTCCCATGAGGAGGCCAGAGCTTTTCTCCCGCGGAAATCTCTTGCGGGTATAACATACATAGCATTGTTTTCTTTCCCTATGTCAAATTACTTCTGTTCAACTTGGCTGATATTCCCGATGACATGAGCTTTTTTCCAGCCATGTAAAGGAATATTGCTTTTTGGTCCTCCTGGAACGGGTAAGACGCTCCTTGCCAAGGCTCTTGCAACCGAAGCTGGAGCAAACTTCATTAGCATAACTGGCTCAACACTTACATCAAAGGTACATGGATTATATTGTATGACAGTGTTTTGTGTCTTTTTTGTATTCATGATTCAATTGTGGACTAGATAAATGATTTATGATATTTTCATTAATCTCGTCCGGATAATTATTTATTAGATCTGACTTTGCCTTGTCCCGGTTCTTTATTTGGTGCAGTGGTTCGGAGATGCAGAAAAGCTCACTAAGGCTCTCTTTTCCTTTGCCACCAAGCTAGCACCTGTTATCATATTTGTCGATGAGGTGAGACTTTTGTGTCTTAGCTTCGTTTTGATTGGCCATACTTCACAGGGTTGATCATTGGCTTTTACATTCTTTAGTGATGAGTAATTTATGATTGTTTGGATAGATTGACAGTCTGTTAGGTGCTCGTGGTGGCTCTTCCGAGCATGAAGCTACCCGAAGAATGAGAAATGAGTTCATGGCGGCTTGGGACGGGCTTAGGTCAAAAGACAGCCAAAGAATTCTCATTCTCGGTGCCACCAACCGTCCCTTTGATCTTGATGATGCTGTCATTCGTCGTTTACCAAGACGGTAAAAAATGATTTGAGTTTTCATTTTGCCTTTGTGAACATCTGTTTTTTTCATTTGCAGTAATGGTAATTGAAAGATTGATCTTTACTTGTGAACTTTAGGATATATGTCGACTTACCAGATGCCAAGAACCGGTTGAAGATACTGAAGATATTTCTCACTCCAGAAAATCTGGAATCCGGTTTCCAGTTTGACAAACTTGCGAAGGAAACCGAAGGTTATTCCGGTAGCGATCTGAAGAATCTATGCATTGCTGCTGCGTACAGACCTGTTCAAGAACTGTTACAGGAGGAACAAAAGGTACAGAATCCAGACTGAATTAGGACATAAGACTGGTCGCTTCCTCAGCTTTTTGCTTGATGCTTTGCCTTGTTTGTCTCGTTAGGGTGCAAGAACAGATGCGTCTCCTGGTCTACGATCGCTGAGTTTGGATGACTTCATTCAGTCTAAAGCCAAGGTAATTTAGTTGCATCTATGTTAGAAAGCAAATATGTATCTTGAGTTTGCTGTTTTACGTCTTTTGCTTTATCGATGGCAAATATGTGATTGTGATCATATGTATGGGTGATGTGGTTTTGCAGGTGAGCCCGTCCGTGGCATACGACGCAACGACGATGAATGAGCTAAGGAAATGGAACGAGCAATATGGTGAAGGAGGGAGTAGGACTAAGTCTCCTTTTGGCTTCTGAATGAATTTTTTTTAGTTTTGTTTGATTTTTAATTGTAACCACAAGTGATAAAAAGTGTTTTCCTTTTCTTTTTTACCCTCTTTGTTAGATCATATTTGTAACTTAGTGTTGTATCGTTTTTCAGGTGTCTTTTTCCAAATTTCCATTTTTAAGTCAGTTGCAGTGAAACACGAAACCTAATGTTATTAGTTTTTCTGCCTATGAACATAATCATAAATGGTAGCAACGTGTACTGTGGGGGAAAAAAATAGTATTGGCTCAACCTTAATAATACAAGTTAGTCCATGCAGCTTAGTAGTCAAATGAAAATAATTCGCCTTCTGCGAAAATCTAGCCTAATTTTCTCTCAACTTGTTTTTTTTTTTAACAAAGTTTACTCTTACTTCCATGTCCAAACATTAACATTCAGATTATTTGTTGCACAAAATTGATGAATTCTACTGTAAATAGCACTTAAATAAGAAAAGATTTAAGCTTTCTCTCGAAACATGCCAAATAAAAAAATAACAAATCTAAGCAAAAATTGATCCCTTTATTTCTCATAAACTAGTATTTAATCAAAAAACTAATAAAAAAAAAAAAGGTTTGTGGCAAGCTTCCCAAAACGAAGGGTCTTACAAAAGCGTGGTTTAGCTACGAATCCAAGAAGGCTCCAAACCAAAGAGCTTATCGCCTCTGTTTTGAGCAGCTGATGTCCGAGGCGGTGGTGCGTGTACCGTGATCGGAAGAATCCAATCACTTTTCTCTCGTTCTGGGATTAACAACGGATGTTCGTACCTGTAGTTAACCAGAAAACAGAACCACAAACTGACTTCAACACCTTGAGCATTTCAAAACACTGAAACAAGGATTTAAAGAGAACTGAATGTTTGCATTAGAAAATCCGTTTTGAGAATTTGAGAGTATAGTACCTGCTGAAGTCCACATTCGCCGGGGTAGTTAAAAACTCAAACCGTAGAATCCATTGCACAGAAACACGGGGTGTAGTAAATGACATGGGACCATCCGCAGGAATCGAAAAGAGAAAGCTGGTTTGAATAAGGTCGGCCACTACCTCATGGTGATCGCTTTGGACCTGTTGAATTAGTAAAAAAAATTGTGGTAGTAAGATCTCAATTACAGAGACGTAGCATCTAAAGATCAGTAGTGCAAACGGATAAACAAGGTCCATTGGAAAATTGTACTCCGCTGCATTTTGTACCTTAGCAAGCATTGGAGAATTCCTCCTAGACTGATGGATAAATCTCCTATTTACTGTCTCTTTTGTTTCTAAGGTAACTGAGACCTGGAAACAGATATTGATCATTAAATTCAAGAAAAAAGCCTTTGATAAAGCCTCAACTTTAAAAATAAACACCAGAAGTCTGGATTTACCTCGAGGCATCTTCTGGCTCCTTCTTCATGGAAGAAAGTAAGAGTTCCACCAATCTACAAGAAAATCACCAGTCAAGGAAACGGGTTATAAGATGTTAAAATATTGTGAAAGGATGTGAAGTGACATGAAACTGCCATTACACTATCGCTGAAGTAATAAGTAGAGTCGGCGTTCTTGGGGGAAAATCTAAGAAGGACTTGGTCATCCATTTTAATGTTGTAAGATCTTCCTCGTGTAAATCCTTCTGCTGCAAAAAAAAATGTTTTCTCTGGATAAGTAGCTACTTGCAAAATCCAACATAAAAAAACAAAGACAACAAACTGGGGGAGGGTTAAGAGAGTAAACTAGTTTACAAGGAACTGATTCTCCAGTTCCAGCTTTTGGTGACATTGATGCTCCTGGACTATTTGTCTGCTTCGGGTGTTCGCTTGGAATCACAGAATTTGATGATTTATCAGGTGAAAAGCCATCTAGCAGGAAAAAGATGGAAACAAGATTCAGTCATCCTTTCCTTGCTCATCAATTCAATATTGTAGAGCTAATAAACAAAGTAGATAATGGGGTATTTTCCGAAACAGCATCTTTCAGTCATAATTGGTATATGAGAACAGATAGTGAGGTTACATGAACTTGTGCCATTCCCAGTGACACAGTAAAAATGCTGTTTTAGGCGGTTGCATGCACATTAAACACTTACCAGTCCCAGAATCATAAGACACCACGGCAGCTGATAAATGAGAAAGCATCATTTTTGGAGATGATCCAACACCTTCTTCAATGTATGACGTGTCTTTCATTGATAACCGCGGTCCAGAGTTCAGGGACAGTGAACTCCCAAAGGCTCTGTTTAAACTTCCCTTGTTGGGATAGGAAGAAACAGACGAGATCTCATCGCGTGAACTGTCATATCCATCCTCAGCACTATCATATGCGTCATTTGCTCTAGTCTGGATTAAATGTAAGGTTCTTAATTATTGTGTGCACCAGCATGAAATGAAACCAATAGGTATACAAGAAAACTGTAAAAACAATAGTAAAGAAGATAAACCGTAAAATGACACACTTGTGAGCAAGCCATACCCATTCCGAGTCTCCATCCATCTCTTTCCAGTATATTTCTGTCTGAATGGTACTAGTTGGAACAATCCCTGAGAGCAAGTTTAAGAGCCCCATCAGTTAACACGGCTAATGCCGTCCAAACGTAAGGGAAAATAACTTTCCTACATTCTGACGAAACTTTAGAACAAAGCTTACCATCGGTTTGATTTTCCTCTAATAGCAACCCGTTGTTCTTCTGACTTACCCATACCTGTATTGGGATTCGAGTCGCCTGTTGGTAAGCAAACAAAGGATTACAGGTGTCAATGTTTTGACGTCTTTAATTAGAAAACAAAATAAAATCGCAATAGGTTAAACCAAATGCATTCACTTAAAGGTATGTCACAACACGGTTGCAAATGTTTGGGTTTATCCCAGTTTATATGTTTTCTACCTAGAAGAATAGACAATATAATGCATTCGAGCAACCATCATAGTAACAAAAACCACAATGAAGTTCACCCTTAGCACTAAAAAAGAACACGGAAAGTCAAGTAAACTAACCACTTCGATGAAATCTTTTGTCGAGTCTTCGTAAAATTGACTGTTCTCTGATGCCATTAATCTTCCACTTAATGTGCTTTTGATGAAGTAATGGTAACGTAAAGTAGCACCCTTGTAAGAAGGTGGTAATATCTCCGGGAGTATAGCTCGAACCATTACTGCAGAAAGAAATTACAAACAAAGAAGCCGGTGAGCTCAAAGATTGACACTGTAGCCCTGGCCGTGACCATCAAACATAGTCTATGTTATTATTCATAAATGAAAGAAAGGAAACAGGCAAGATTACATGTCATCTTAGCACCAGGGGATATGAGTTGATTTGAAATCAAGGATGGTGTTGAACTGTCTAGAAAGACGTGTTCACCTGAAAGTTTCCAAGAAAAATATATGATTAGCACATCAATACAAAAGTACACGTACATGGCACATAACCTAGTTCACTTAAACTTGTGAGGATCAAGAAAGACACCTAACAATGAAGCACTTATGTCTTGTAATTAACAATTATGCAACTACTGCACTATATATACACCTCTGGAGGCAACTATATATACAACTCTGGAGGCAACTACTGCACTATATATACACTATATAACTACTGCATCACGTGTTGAATGCAATATGCATAATGTCTGTAACGAAAGAAACATGAAAGGCAGAAATTCTTGGAAGTTAAGGAAACACACAGAAAAATCACATAACTTCAATGCTTGTTTTAATACCTATTTCCCCTTAATTTTGTTCTCTTCACTTAATTTCCCATAGTCATCCTCACAGGCTAGATTCTAGACCACAGATATCAACCAGATACAAGCCAACTTTCGAAAGTGTATATATGTGTGGGTGTGTGTCTGTGCATGTAACATAATGATTATCAAAAGCAGCAACTATTGGGGAATCTCTACAAACTGATACAACATATAACAGTTTTAGTAACAAAAAACACCTTGTATACCTCTTCGTCCTTTGCTTCCTGGTGATGGCTTTTGAGTAGAAAACCAATGAACGTCCAGTTGCTCTACTCCTTTGACCTCAAAGCTAAGCTTTTCAATCAAAATTGAGGGTGTAGCTCCTCCGCTCTCATGATCCCTTACAGGAGAATAACCAACCTCAATAGTTACAAATATGGAATCTCCAGGCCTGTACACATCTTTATCCGTTTGCACACTCAGAGTTGGTTTGAGATTTCTTCCAGAAACACCCAAAGAGTCATTAACTTCGCTGTAACTCCCGATCCCCAAAAACGAAAACCTTGATGATAACATGGCTTCAGTGGCTGTGTTCGTTCCTTAACAAATACAACTATTCAGCTGGAGGCACCATAGAAGCTGACTCAACTAAATCCCTGAGGCACAATTTGATTACGCATAAACCCTGCCAAAATTTGACGGAAGAAGAGTTCAGAAACCAAATCAGCAATTTAAAATCTATAGAAAATGCCTGAAAGGCTCGCAATCCACAATGCGTGTTTCCGAAACATAGATCATAGATCCAGGGACGATGCTGAGGGAATGTGGAAACTTTGCAGAGGCCCAGATATTAGAAGATGAAGAAGATGACTTACACGTGATGACGAGAAGGATTACGTGGCTTGGATGGAGTTGGAGCAGGAAGAAGACCCGATTCAAGGTTCCTCCTTCCAAACATAAAAATTGGCAGACTTCAACCGAAACTCAGATCCAGAGAGAAGACGATCGCAGAATCGCTCAGAGCGTCAGATCATAGAACCAATTCGTGAGATTCATTCTGAAATATTTCTCGCTCACACTCAGATTCACAAAGACTGAGCTTCTACCTTGTCTCCGTGGCAACAACAAAAGATAACAGCAGGATAACGGCACCGGAAATAGTCTTGGAAGCCGAAAGTCCGGCGACAGAATTCCTCCGCCGCTAGAATCGAGGAAATGTCGAGAATGGCATAAAGGTTGAGAGATTTCTACAGTAAACCGGGAAGATAAATTGAAGTGCTAATCTGATTTTAGATGAACGAGCCACAAAGCCAGAAGGTTAAAAAAATTAATAAAACAAATGACAGCTGTGGGATTTGAACCCACGCCCTTTCGGACCAGAGCCTAAATCTGACGCCTTAGACCACTCGGCCAACCTGTCTTTCATTGGTTGCTGTTTGGAAACTAAGTTACTGACCGATACGTAGAACAAACCATTAGAGTATTAGACTATAATCTCGTCATTATGTCCATTATTTGTTTGTCATTCATCTTTAATCTTTTTTTTGCTTTCCATATGTTGTTTCTTTTTGTTTGTTATGGTCCTGACAATCAGTAAATTTCAAAGATAGTTGAATCACTCAATAAATCGAACCATGTTATGATGTTATGCATGCATGTATAATGTATTGACTAAGACATGAGTGCATATATACACGTTAGAGTGCACCTATTATGTACTTTGTCTTGTATGCAATTAGGATGCAACAAACGACCAAGAACTTGATGTCTTCCATAATCTTGTCGCTCTGATTTTACATTCAATTGAAAAGAACTTATAAAACAACTACAAACAACAAAGTCAATAGCTCAATGCAATCATATATGAGAGAGATGATACAATTTAGCAGTACAATGAATCCTTTTTGGAACTGTAACAATTGAAGGAGTTCATTGCTAAATATGGAACAAAGACATCTAATTCCGAGCTCAACACAGCACAAGTTTTTGAGATAACATACTTGTATTACAACGTTTAAAGCAGCTTCACGCATGTCCTGATTTTTTCAAGTATCCATCACGAACATAAAATTCTGACTCCCAATCGAAGTAATACCTAATGTCTTCATACTCATAAGGGTTATATGGGTCACATGAGTGGTCACAAGCATTGTCTTCACAAGTACATGTTCTTAAAATTCAAATATTAATCAGTTGAAACCATTTTCGCATTTACTTTGTAAGTTGTTTCTTACATTTTGATGAAACGATAATAATTAAATCATACATATTTTACAAATTATAAAAGCAAAAGTATGCCAATACCAAATAATAATGATATGTTATTTTGATGTTGAACTTGCACTCTCGAATGTGTGAATTGGAATCCTGATCTAAATTGGCAATACATGCGCGACATACATCTTTCGCTAACTCTATAATTTCATCCTCGTACAAAACTCTTATATATAATTGACTATCACTAAAATTATAAAAAGCAGTTCAAAATAAACAGCGTCATTTGTGTGCTAGTTGATGTCATTACGAAACCTAACTAGTACTTGAGTTGTGGAGCCTAATTTCTGGACTTGTTGTTCGGCCTACCAATCAAACCAGACGATGATCGACTTGAACGGTCAAATTGGCGTGAGGTAGGAAGAATATGGTAGACCTCCTTTTTCTTTTAATTAAGAGTGTTTATTAGTATACTGATTTGCTCCTAGGGGTTTTCTCCTTTCTCAATTTTTTTTTTTTTTCTGACGTTTCTTTTGGTTGTAATTTGTCGAGGGAAAAGAGAAAAAGAATCTGGTTAAAAACTCCGACCTCACCGTGAATTTCTTAGCGACAAAAAGTGGAAGTAATTCTCTCTCTCACTAGATGAACCATTTTTTATGTTTTTCATTTTTTTGTTTTTTAATTTAAAATCAAATTTGGTCTTCAACTCCTAACAGCAAGTTGGTGATTGAGATTGAAGTATATCTTTTTAGTCATCTATCACTTTTAACAGATTCTATAAACAATTTTACTGAACTATTTAACATTTACATAAGAACATACTACACAGAGTAGACACCTCGTACAATTTAATCGCCTGGTCAAAAATAGCAAGAAATTCGGTGATATGCCATCTACATGACTTGAATCGTATTAATCGTTTTTAACATATTTGACTTTGCTAAAGAAAAAATGCCAAACGAATATACACCAAACCTTCACTTTTATCAACAAAATATCTTCTTCTTTTTTCAAAAATGTTAATGAAGTTTAATAGTATTAATTTGTTTTGACGAAAACATGATATTTTGGTATTTTAGAATTTGTCCCCTATGCTAAATAAAGCTAAATCTATAAATGTTGGCATGTTGCATGCGATGGATCAATGGTTCTTCCGTTCTTCTATGAAAATAAAACTAAAGACCAATTTTTTTTTCTTTTAACAAAAACTCCATTTATAAAGTTTGATCTGTCTTTCCACAACCATCCATAAACGATACCTTTTCCATGATTGTGATTATATATACGTAGTTTAATACTACTCATAGAACTTCAAACATCCATTTTTGCAAACTCCAACGTTTCACATCCATATCTAGTACGATTACACCAACCGAGCCCCAAGTCTTAGTTAAGTGTCTCTTTCTGTTAACTAACCCTCGAGTCTTTAACTAACGAAGATCCTAAGATTTATAAGAAAACAAAAATTACCGATGGATCGTAATCAAATAAAAGAAAAAGACTGATGCAGTTAATTCGAAAGGTTGGTTAATTATTGCTGTCCCTCTATAAAAGAAGGCGAGATAAGTCGTTCTCAAAACACATCAAGTATCAACCCTCCCAATCTCAAACCAGTTTCTTGCTCTCTTCGTCTTACACTATCCAATGGCTTCTTTTGTGCAACCTTCTTCATCACCTCATCTTGCAAGGTTAAAATAATCATTTTTTCTTGATTTTTTTTTTTTTTAAAACCAAAATTTTCTCCCCATCAGTTCTAAAAATCTAGAGAAAGAGGCACCTAAATAAAATTTCTCGTTAATTTTTTTTTTTTATCAAAACAGTGAAGAAGATGAACAAAAATATGCGAATGTGAATTGGGAAGAGCTTGGATTCGGACTGATTCCAACAGATTATATGTATGTGGCGAAATGCAAACAAGGAGAGAGCTTTTCAGAAGGGAAGCTTGTTCCTTATGGGGACATTTCAATTAGCCCTTGTTCTGGAATTCTCAACTATGGCCAGGTTTTGTTCTTCTTCACCAAATCAAAGCTAGTTTTCCTTGAGGGGGAAACCTTTTTTGATCTTGGATAGATTGGGTTTGTAGGGACTATTTGAAGGTCTAAAGGCTTACCGGACAGAAGACGAACGGATCATGCTCTTCAGGCCTAACCAAAATGGTCTTCGTATGCAAACGGGTGCGGATAAGCTTTGTATGACATCTCCTTCTGAGGAGCAATTCGTCAAAGCAATTAAGAAAACTGTGCTTGCCAACAAGAAATGGGTATTGACTATGGACCAATAAGTCTCTAATCCCATTTGATCACTTGTTAATCTTTACAAGTAGCTAAAGACTTATATGGTTTCAGGTTCCTCCTCCGGGTAAAGGAACATTGTATATAAGGCCTCTGCTCATAGGGAGTGGTGCTGTCCTTGGAATAGCTTCAGCACCAGAATTTACCTTCCTCATCTACGTATCTCCCGTTGGAATTTACCAACAGACAAGCTCAGGCTTGAACCTCAAAGTTGATCACCAACATCGCAGAGCCCACTCGGGTGGAACGGGATGTGTGAAGAGCTGCACGAATTATTCTCCTGTAAGTGAAGAGACACCATACATATATAGAGATATGCCTTAATGGAATATTAATCTATTTTTGTTGTTGTTGAAAGGTTGTGAAAAAGATGCAAGAAGCAAAGGCATTGGGTTTCTCTGATGTCTTGTTCCTGGACGCAGCAACTGGTAGAAATATCGAAGAGGTTTCTACTTGTAACATCTTCATTGTCAAGGTAAGGAACATTCAACATTTATCACATATACTACAAAGTTTTCAAGCCTTTCAGATTCCCTTGCATAAACGAATTAAGTAACTAGTAGTTAACAATTAATTTTTTAGGGAAACGTTGTGTCCACTCCACTAACTTCTGGAACCATTTTACCCGGAATCACAAGGAAGAGCATAACCGAGCTAGCTCGTGATCTTGGTTACCAGGTTCCAACATTCAGTTCACTTTAGGGACTTTATAATATATGATACCTTCTGTGTAGACATTTTCCATGAAATCAAGATGCTTAGATTGAGATTCACAATATGTTTCACAGGTTCAAGAACGTGATATTTCTGTGGATGAGCTATTGGAGGCAGAAGAAGTTTTCTGCACGGGAACTGCAGTGGTCGTTCAAGCTGTTGAAACCATGACCTTCCATGACAAGAAGTGAGTGATTAACTTGTTTTTCTTTCTCTAATACGTAGAAACATTTCTTCTTTTCATTAATCGGGGCTACTTTAATGTTGATCCTAGGGTGAAATACATGATGGGAGAAGAAACATTGTCTACCAAGCTTCACTCAATGTTGACGAGTATTCAGAAAGGTCTTGTTGAAGATACAAAAGGTTGGATGGTGGAGATCGATCTTTAATGTCAAGGTTGAAAAGAATAATATTTCGAAATGTTTATGCAAATTATCTTACTCAGTGATTCAGAGAACAATCTGAAACTTGTATCTGCGTTTCTTTTTCATATACTGATAATGTAAATTAGATTGCGTAATTGGGAAGAAAACAGCGCAACGTATAGGCTTAAGCTTATGGAACAAAGGTTAAAATAATATTGGTATGGAAAGACGCAAATACCCAAATATGAAAATTTTAATAAAAAATGACAGCTGTGGGATTTGAACCCACGCCCTTTCGGACCAGAGCCTAAATCTGGCGCCTTAGACCACTCGGCCAAACTGTCTTCCGTTGGTTGCTGTTTCGAAATTTTTGTACTGACCGTAACTTCACCACTAGACCACGTGTATATACTATATACTACATAGACACCTCCTCACACCTTCTACTTGATGCTTGTATACGTTGTTGTAGACTTTTAAAAGATATAAACTAAAGACTCATTAGTTCTTCAATTAGCAAGAAATTAGATGGTATCTCGTTAATATACCGTATCGTTTAGATCGTATAATTAGTTTTAAACATTGTTGACTTTGCTAAAAAAATCAAATCTAGAAAAGTTGCATGTGATGTACAGGCGATTATACTTATAAAAAGCAGTATGCCCATATGCAAAACTTAATTGTCTATGCAACCAACCGTAAACGCTATTTATTTTTATAAACGTATGTTTCCGCAAATTGATCCGCACCGATATAAAAACCAATTGCTAAGTTGTTCGCAAAGCATCACCACTCCAAAGCTCAAACAACTTTTGCTCTCTTAATTTTTGTCTTCCTTTATCGAATGGCTACTTATGTGCATCCTTCTTCATCACCTCTTCTTACAAGGTTTAAATAATATATCAAAAATAATAATAAAAGTTTCATAAAATTGAACTTTTTATTTTGTTATAAGAATCCTGATTTGGGTTTCTCGTGTTCATTTGCCATCTACGTACGTCATATATTTATTTATGAAAAACCCTTAACTCGTTTGAATTTTGTTTTGTTTAATATTATTTTTGGGTTTATGGTGGCATTAAAACAGTGAAGGAGATGAAAAGTATGCGAATGTGAAATGGGAAGAGCTTGGATTTGCTCTGACTCCGACAGATTATATGTATGTGGCGAAATGCAAACAAGGAGAGAGCTTTTCAGAAGGGAATATTGCTCCTTATGGAGACATTTCAATTAGTCCTTGTTCTGCCATTTTCAATTATGGCCAGGTTTTGTTCTCTCGTAATTTTTTTGCTCCACTTTACTTCCAATTTTTTTGTAGGGAAATATTAAGCAAGAGCTTGTATTAATGTTGGCATCTACGTGTCAAATTTATGAGAAAACCTATTGATATTGGTTAGTCTTTGTAGGGACTATTTGAAGGTCTCAAAGCTTACAGGGCAGAAGATGACCGGATTAGGCTCTTCCGGCCTGACCAAAACGCTCTTCGTATGCAAACCGGTGCAGAGAGGCTTTGTATGACATCTCCTTCTGTGGAGCAATTCGTCGAAGCAGTTAAGCTAACTGTGCTTGCCAACAAGAAATGGGTATTTATATATGGACTAAAGTTGTCTCTAATCCAAAATATTATATCACTTGTGTATATCTCTTTAAATAGCTAAAGAGTGTTATGGTTTTCCGGTTGAAGGTTCCTCCTCCGGGTAAAGGAACTTTGTACGTAAGGCCTCTGCTCATAGGTAGTGGTGCAATACTTGGATTAGCTTCAGCACCTGAATATACGTTCCTTGTTTACGCATCTCCCGTTGGAGAATACCACAAGGTTAGTTAATTTGTTTGTTTTTCAAATACATGGTCATGTAAACTCTGCCTAAACTATTATATATATGCCTTGTTCAGTTTGTATTTTAATTAAAACCATCAATATAATAATATCTGCTTCTTTTATTTGTGTGAGTCATATGCATTAACGCTTCTGGCAGATGCATCTTTTTAACATTATGCAACTAGAGTACTCAAATACGATCCTAGTTATTAAAAATTTATGCATATGTGATATGGCTGACAAATAGTTTTAGACGGCCTTGGCCTCTAGCATCCTTTAAAGTTAACGGTCCTAATTGATACCTAACCGTTGTGTCTGTCCTCTTGTAGGTAAGCTCAGGCTTGTTGAACCTTGAGGTGAATCATAAGTATCGCCGCTCCCATTCGGGTGGAACTGGTGGTGTGAAGAGCTGCACAAACTATTGTCCAGTAAGATAGATATCAGAACTAATATCTACTGATTAGTTGTTAATGAAATATATATATTTCTCTGATTATTTTTGTTTGGTTTACCTTTTCAACAAATTTGAAAGGTTGTGAAACCATTTCTCGAAGCAAAGTCATCGGGATTCTCTGATGTCTTGTTTCTGGATGCGGCAACTGGTAGAAACATTGAAGAGATTTCTACTTGTAACATCTTCATAGTCAAGGTATGAGAACTCAAGGTCTATCACATCAGTCACATGTAGAGAAAGTTTCGACCATTTAGATTCATTTGCGTATATAGAGTTATAGACTTATTAGTAATCATTAATTTTGTAGGGAAACATTGTGTCCACTCCACCAACTTCAGGAACCATTTTACCCGGAATCACAAGGAAAAGCATAATTGAGCTAGCTCGTGATACTGGCTACCAGGTTCCCAAATTACCCTTATACTGATATGTGCACATACATTCGTAGATTTTGTGATTGACGATTGTGTCACAGGTTCAAGAACGCGATGTTTCTGTGGATGAGCTATTAGAGGCAGAAGAAGTTTTCTGCACAGGAACAGCAACGGTCGTTAAAGCTGTTGAAACCGTGACCTTCCATGACAAAAAGTTATTAGCGTTTCTAAACTTAATCAGACTATTGGATCAAAACTTTGGTTTTTCCGACATAATGTTACTTATCTGGTTCATTATCTATCTTTGACCGCAGGGTGAAATACAAGACAGGAGAAGAAACATTGTCCACAAAGCTCTACACAGTGTTAACCAATATTCAGATGGGTGTTGTTGAAGATAAAAAGGGTTGGATGGTGGAGATCAATCATAAATGTCAAGGTTAAAATTTGAAAAGAATAAGGTTTAGAAAAACGAATGCAAATGATCTTATTCGATATGCATCTTTAATTTTTGTGTGTGTTTTTTTTTTCTTTGGTTTGCCCTTTGTTCTATTATAAGATTGTCAATAGAGTGATCACAGTTTAGAGTCCTATCATAGGTACTCCTGTACGATATCTTTTCAATACGGGAGACAAAGGATCGTCGCTTTGTATTATATATGGTTGAAAAAAAAAGTTCATTAAGGAAGGAAATAAAACCTAAATCCCGTAGAATTTTTTGCTTTGCAATTCTCAAATGTGGCCATAACTCATAAGTTAAGGGATGCATAAAGCATTTTCGTACTATTGGTGATAAAATGATTGATAGAACAATCTAAATAGATTGAGTGATGGGGAATAAATCAGCGGAACGTAGGCTTATGGAACAAAAAGGTTTATATTATAGATGAACAAGCCATGATGGATTAGGTTCAAACTAATGCTGACATAAAAAGATGATCCTTCAGGCAAGTTAAAGGGGAAATGAGGAATGGGCTTAATCTTGCATAAATTGCTTGAAGAGCGTTCCGCTCAAAGCCTGTTACGACAATTGGGCGCTCCAATTCTCTTATCATCTGATCCCTCTCTTGTTTTAATTTAAAATATTTTACCAAAAAAAACAAAATGCTGAGATAAAAAGACGCAAATACCCCTAATCTAGACAAAATAAATGACAACTGTGGGATTTGAACCCACGCCCTTTCGGACCAGAGCCTGATTCTGGCGCCTTAGACCACTCGGCCAAACTGTCAGTTGTTGGCTCTTGTTTGCTAAGCCCAATAATGAGCCTAAATTCAACGGCCAAGCTTTTATTCAAAGTAAATACTGTAATACATAAGATAGGATAAGACGAATGAGTGGAGGAAACACTCACAAGCCTTCAAATTCATGAATTTAAATGAACGTGTAAATATTACATACACCTTGTACTTATATGCTTGTAGAAAATATAAAATAAAGACCTGCCACTCTATTCAATTGGTCTTAAAGTAACAAGAAATTAGGTAACACATGCATGTCTCGTTTACAGCTGTATAATTAGTTAAACATATTTGACGAGACATGCGTCAACTAATTAGTTTTATCAAATATGTTTAAAGGACATCTAAATTTTCTAATAGTCTTATATAAAATACTAAATTAGTTGACGATTCTAAATTTACTAATAGAAAAGGCTAATGGAGTGATGGGGATGGTCAGTTGGTGACCAAGCACGTGAAAATTACCGACTGAAAACGAAGGGTAAGGTTGTATTATTAGACTATACTAGTTACATATTTTGTATTTATATAAGCACAGATTCTGAATGTCGGATATAATTATACATGTATATGTGTAACTCTGAGATCAATATAATCATTAGTTATTGATCTCTATAGTTGTTGCCCCTATCAATATATATTCATTAGTGTTAAATCGTTCTCAAAGCACATCACCACTCCAAAGCTCAAACCACTTTCTTGCTCTCTTTGTCTTCCTCAATCCGATGACTTCTTCTGTTCACCCTTCTTCATCATCTCTTCTCACAAGGTTAGCTAGAAAAATCACAATTGACCTTTCTTTAGTTATAAGAATCAGCTGCTTCGGGTTTCCGGTGTTCATTTGACAATTATTCGTCCTTCCTTTGTTTATTCAAAACCCTTTTGACTCAACTGGTGTGTTTCTTTTTGGTTTTTGGTGTGCGTGCATTGAAATTTAAAACAGGGAAGGAGATGAAAAATATGCGAATGTGAATTGGGAAGAGCTTGGATTTGCTCTGATTCCAACAGACTATATGTATGTGGCGAAATGCAAACAAGGAGAGAGCTTTTCAGAAGGGAAGATTGTTCCTTATGGGGACATTTCAATTAGCCCATGTGCTGCCATTTTTAATCATGGCCAGGTCTTATTCTCTCTCTTGATTTGTGCTCCACTCATTTGTAATTTTTTTGTTTGATCTTATTCACCAAATAAATGTTAATGAAAATTTTAGTTTCCTTGTACTGTTGTCCAAGCTTGCCAAATCTCACTGGATTATAGAAAGTCCTAGGTTAGTTAGCAAATGATTAGGAGACTAGATGTCCTTTAATCTCGACCAAAATAAACCGTTTGGGTTCCTGTACCGGTTTTTAGAGATTGAATAGTCCTAAGCAAAAGCTTTAAGCTTGTAATGCTATGAATCAAAACAAAAGAGAAAATCATTTGATCTTGGCTTGTGTTTGTAGGGAATATTTGAAGGTCTCAAGGCTTACCGGACAGAAGACGAACGGATCACGCTCTTCCGGCCTGACCAAAACGGTCTTCGTATGCAAAATGGTGCGGATAGGCTTTGTATGACACCTCCTTCTGTGGAACAGTTCGTTGAAGCAGTTAAGCAAACTGTTCTTGCCAACAAGAAATGGGTAACCAAAGTGTCTCTAATCCAAAATATTAGATCACTTGTGTATCTCTTTAAATAGCTAAAGAGTGTTATATGGTTTTTTTGGTTGAAGGTTCCTCCTCCAGGTAAAGGAACTTTGTACGTAAGGCCTCTGCTCATAGGTAGTGGTCCGATGCTTGGAATAGCTTCAGCACCTGAATATACATTCCTCGTTTACGTATCTCCCGTTGCAGAATACCACAAGGTGATTATGTTCAAGACCTTTTAAATGTAGACAATATATGTATCTAAATATGTATAAGAAACCAAATTAATTTATGCGCTAGCACCCTTTCAAAACGGTCTTGATACGTAAATTAAAGACTCTTTAAGTTGAGAGGCTTAGCCATTTTTGTATGTCCTCTTGTAGGTAAGCTCAGGCCCGTTGAACCTTGAAGTGAATGACAAGTATCGCCGGTCCCATGCCGGTGGAACTGGTGGTGTGAAGAGCTGCATAAACTATTGTCCAGTAAGTTATCAAAACTATCATCTGCTGATAAACTTTGGCACATAAATTAAAAAACTTGACTATCTTTAGTTGTTGTATACCTTATCAAAAAAAAAATTGAAAGATTGTGAAACCGGTTCTTGAAGCAAAGTCAGCTGGTTTCTCTGATATCTTGTTTTTGGATGCGGCAACTGGTAGAAACATTGAAGAGATTTCTACTTGTAATATCTTCATAGTCAAGGTATATATTATCACATATAAATTGGTTTCGACCATTTAAATTCATTTGCATATATATATAGTCAGGCTCATTAGTAATCATTCGTTTTCTAGGGGAATATTGTGTCCACTCCACCAATTTCAGGAACAATTTTACCCGGAATCACAAGGAAAAGCATAATCGAGCTAGCTCGTGATATCAGCTACCAGGTTCCAAATTACCCTATTGTATATATGTGTTGATATTTCACAGATTTTATAGATTGTGTGACTTACAATTGTGTCACAGGTTCAAGAACGCGATGTTTCAGTGGATGAGCTATTAGAGGCAGAGGAAGTTTTCTGCACAGGAACAGCAACGGTCGTTAAAGCTGTTGAAACCGTGACCTTCCATGAGAAAAGGTTAGTAGATTTTCTAAACTTAATCACTCTTAATTAGATTAAAACTTTGATACTTTCGACTCTCGGTTTACTTAATGTTGATTATCTGGTTCATATCAATCTTTGACCGCAGGGTCAAATACAAGACAGGAGAAGAAGCATTGTCCACGAAGCTCTACACAATGTTAACCAATATTCAAATGGGTGTTGTTGAAGATAAAAAGGGTTGGGTGGTGGAGATCGATGGTTGTCATGATTAAAAGAATGGAAAAAAAACACAGAATAAGGAAGAAATGCTGCAAGAAAAGAAATAAGGCGCCAAAAAGTACTAAAAATGCAAGAAAACTATAATTAAAAATAAAAATTTGATTGACAGCTGTGGGATTTGAACCCACGCCCTTTCGGACCAGAGCCTAAATCTGGCGCCTTAGACCACTCGGCCAAACTGTCTTCTCTGTTTTCTTCGGTATTGTTAAAATCATAATATTAAGTTATACGTATGTGGTGGATTTTGTTTTTTTTCTTCCTGATACAATCACGGTGAATTCTTCAAAATATATAATTCAAATAAAAAGTTGTTTGGAGAATTTCAAAAACACTATCATTTATATATTTTTAAGCTACTAGTGTATATGTTCTATTTCATTACTGACTGACATCCATCTCACTTGATCCCAATTATCAACTTTTCATATTTCATCTACCGTTGGTTATACAGTTATACTATATCGCACAACAACCTTGTAATTAAACTTCCGAGTAGACCAAATTTTCTCGCTACATATACAAACAAAAAAATGGCAACATTTCATTCATTGTAAAAGAAGGCAAACCTTACAACAGCTTTATGTGAAACTAATAAATCATTACATCTTGAGATTAAACGACATTTATTTTCTTAATAATATATTTCTCTTATAATAATAAAGCATATGCCATTGGGTTCTTACCTCGGAGAGTAGCCTTCTTAAACGACATTTATTTTCATAAAAATAATAGTATTTGCTTTTACTTTAGGTTAATTTATTTATAGGGGTAGTGTAAAACCAAAAATAAAAAAATAAAGGGGTAGTGTTCAGGATTAGTAAGGGTACTCTCCGATGTAATTACCGGGTGTGTCATAGTTACAACTCACGAACCACCAACCATTGGTGCATTGAACCCTAGCACACCCTAACTTCGCCGAATCTCTCCACACCACTTGCGTGTAGTGCAAACATTGTTTCCCACCTGTGTTTCTCCAAATTCAGCAACTCAAATATTAACCACTGAACCAGATTGTCTCTTGCGTTTGCTTTTACGGTACATGCTAACTTGTTAGTTTTATTTTCATATGCAAAGTTATAAAATTAAACACAAATTCAATTAGTTTTAGATAAACAAAATTCTCAAATTAATGTCATCCGCAAAATAATTTACGAAGATGTAAATGTAAGTTTGTAATATTTGATAATGTGAGAGAGATAAGGATTTTTGATGTGAGACATACCTGTGCAAGAATTTGTAGTGTAGTTGTAGTATGGTTTCTCGTTGACCCAAAGATTCACGGCCGATGTTGCCGAGAACGTGCTACTACTTCCCTTGGCTAGGTTTTCTCCATATGGTCCATTCGAGTGCACAAGGTTGCAGTCAGATTTTCTAGAGTTTGCGTATTGGAGTGCATAGGACTCGACCGCTGCATCCCACACGAGGTTCGCTACTCCAACCTGTGAACGAGCGTTGTTGTGGGGTTTTAGGTACTCTTGTTGTTCAGTAAGGTTTAGAGCGTTGGATGCGATTACTAGAAAGCTAATCGCAACGATTAAGAGTGATGGAGTTTTGGAAGTTTTCATCATCATATATGTATTTTTTAAGTGGTGATTGTATTAAGAGGGAGATATGTAGTCTATGTTTTGTGTAAGTATGAGGAGTAGTGTACATACTTGGTATCATTTATATAGGCATTATATGCTTAAGGTTAGCTAATGGTTTTGGGAAACTTTGAAATTGGAGCATTGACTTTTCTTCTAAGGACTAGTTTAATTTAATCAGTGAAGTAAAATGATCAAAAAGGTGTTATCATGACTTTATCCCTAAGAAGCAATATTAAACCTTAGCTAGGTCTATTTGGTCTTAAACAGAAGATAATATATAAAGAAAAAGGATCAATTCCAACAATCTTTTGTAGTTATACAACTAAAAACTCTTATAAAACTGGTAACTAGCTCTATATTAATTATGAAAACTGACGAACATATACAGATTATCAAATCACGTAGATTAAAAGTAGTAATCTAGTTTTTTTTTGGTGTTAAGTAGCATTACGAACCTCTTTTTTGCTTGTTTTCTTGATAGGAATTGTCAGGTAAAGATTTGTATTTAAGTTGAAAGTGTATAAACTTTCATAGTTTATTTTTGTGTGTGACATTCATAGTCTTGTACAAACTCTATCCACTTGTGTCAATCTCCATCCAGTACTATATAATATTTTTTTCTTTTAAAAAGATCGAGTGTAAAGATGAAGAAGTAGGAAAGTATATACATAGAAAAAGAAAAATAGTAGTAGCTAGGGGGATGAATGTTGCCAAGTGGATGAAGACAGTGTATCAAGATTTTAAGGGACCGTAAATTCACCATGCGCGGATTGAATTCTAAGTTTTTCCCACATGCGAGCATATGATACATTCCAAAATTTCCAATAATAAGTTCAAGGGAAGAAGATATACTTACATTGTTTTGAACCGAACAAACAAAACAAATCGGCCTAAGAGTGATTAGAAAAACAAACCGAAATTACTACGTCAAAGAAAAATATTAATACTATATATATATATATCTATACTTCAAATGTTAGAAAAATAACGTGATTTATAAGATTAAATTATTACGAATACTTCTAGCACAACATCATCTACACTACCGTCATCGACACCACTTTCAACATTTAAACTAGACATAATCATAAGAAGACAAATAAAATAAAGAAGACATTTAAACTAGACATGTTCATAACACGGTAATATATGACGATAATGGATAAAGAAAGCTTCTAAATAGAAAAGAATGATTGATGTGTACCAAATGCATAGTAGGTCTATGAACTTGATTCAATTCGTATCCAATCCAACTCAAATTACTCGGAATTTTTGAAGAAAAATATCAAAAATTTGCTGTTGAGATTTAATAATAATTCATTTCAATACATAAATTAAAGATACAAACGCTATAATCATCTAGACGCTATCAAGTGTCGACAAGCCATGGTCCATGGAGGTGGAATAGTAAAGTTAGAGTACAACGAATCATATTTTAAGCCTTTTCGGATAATAGAGGAGGATGTACCTTTTTATTTTTTTGGTTTTAATGTTAATAGATATGTAGCTTGAAATTGATTATGTTCTCGATTCACTTGATCCAAAGAGCATTGCGGAAGCTTTAAAGTCCACTATCGTATTCGTATATAATTAATAAAGGACATTTTAGTTTCAGTACTTTCTCCATCTTTGTTTATGAATGTTGTAAGCTCCATGCCTCCATATTCTCTTTCAAATTAGACCATCTACATCGTAGTGCCCATATTATCTGAAGAACTTGCAAGAAACCAATTAACTCTGATTAAAACGTGCTGTTCTAGACATAATAGATTAATAGCTATCATGATGATCTGTTAAGATCCATCCAATCCATGTAAATTCACCATTTACACTTAAAATAACACTTAGAATCTGCAACAAGAAAAATTTACATTTGAATAAGTTCACATGGACAAAAGTAAATTATAATTGTGGTAAAAAAAACATTGTAAGTGTTTTTTTTTGTTTTTTACCAAGGACGCTGTCTGAACTCTGAAAGAAGAAGGCAAAAACCTAAAAAGCACTTGCGAAAATGAATTTGTAAAAAAAAAAATTGAGTAAAAAGGAATCCTATTTTCTCCTGCGATCTTCGCTTCTCTCTCTATCTCTCTTTCACGCACGATGTGTTGAAGATACCTCTCTCTCTCTCTTCCTCTGTACATACTCTCTCTACCCAGTGTTGTTTAACCAAAAAGGGGTCAGATTTAGGGTTTTTGGGAGATTTTTGTGGCTGGACGGCCTTCACAGCGATGTCTTCCTCGTCGCAATCTTTTGCGGCTGGACGGTCTCCATCACTGTCTTCTCCGTCGCAATCGCACCGTTTTTGTGGGCCTGCAGCCACCGCTTCTGGCGGCGGAAGCTTCGACACTTTGAACCGTGTCATCGCTGACCTTTGCAGCCGTGGCAATCCTAAGGTAATGAAGAACATTGCAAAGTATTCTCCTTTTCAATGCTTAGCTCCATGGGAAATTCAAATTAGTAGAAACCCAGAAAAAATTCTCTTGCTTTTTTAGCTCAGCTGAAGAATGATCTCACAAAATTCGAATTTTTAGTTCTAATAGGTCTGGCAATTAGTGAAATTGGAATTTGATGTATTGCTGGTTTCCTAAAGTATGCGACTTTGTTTGAGTTTTGTATCTGACGACAGCAAATGGCGATGCTTTTTGTTTGTTGTAATAGGAGGGAGCTCCTTTAGCGTTTAGGAAACATGTAGAGGAAGCAGTTCGTGATCTTAGCGGTGAAGCTTCTTCTAGGTTCATGGAGCAATTATATGACAGGATTGCTAATTTAATCGAGAGCACGGATGTGGCTGAAAACATGGGTGCTCTCAGAGCCATCGATGAGTTAACGGAGATTGGATTTGGTGAGAATGCTACCAAGGTTTCTAGGTTTGCGGGTTACATGAGGACTGTGTTCGAGTTGAAGCGTGACCCTGAAATCTTGGTTCTTGCTAGTAGAGTTTTGGGGCACCTTGCTCGGGCAGGGGGAGCAATGACGTCTGATGAAGTGGAGTTTCAGGTACAGTGTGTTGGTTTTTTCTCCACTTTCTATCATTGGCTCAGCTTACTTATTGGTGCTCAAGTCTTGATTTTGTTTTCACAGATGAAAACTGCTTTTGATTGGCTTCACGGAGACAGGGTGGAATATCGCCGTTTCGCAGCTGTTTTAATTTTAAAGGTATCCTGACGTCAACTGCCCTATCCTTTAGAGAACCTGCAGAAAAGCATGGATATTATTGTTTCTATAGTTACTCACAGATCGATTTCTGAATCACAAATAAATTGGATCATGGATGTTGGAAAAATGGTAGCGAGGATAGCTTTTAAGTTCAGTAAATTAATATGGATTATGGCTATGTTCGTGCAACATTGCAGGAGATGGCAGAAAATGCATCCACTGTATTTAATGTTCATGTCCCTCAATTTGTGGATGCGATCTGGGTTGCACTAAGGGATCCCCAGTTGCAAGTACGAGAGCGAGCTGTTGAGGCTTTGCGTGCTTGCCTTCGTGTTATCGAGAAAAGGGAGACTCGGTGGCGAGTACAGTGGTTAGTATTCTTTTTTCCTTGACAATGATCAAATGTCCTAAATGTTTTGCTGAGGAACGATATTACCATATTTGGTACGATATTTTTATAGCTAGGCTTTTTGTTCATGCTGTACTTTCATTTGCGATCCTGTCTTGTGGTTTCATCTTCATTTAAGCGCAAGGTTATGTGGTGGTACTTCTTTGCATTTTTGTGTGTGTAAATGCAACTTATACTAGCTTGTTATGCTGCGGTCCCCCCAAAAAAATTGGGGAAGATTTGAATATATATATTCTGGTGATACTTTTTGAGCATACTGTATGTAACATTTCAATGTAAATCAAGTAGATGGGAAATGTCATGACCCCTTGCTTTCAAGGTCTGTAACGGTTTTGAAGCTTTCGTCACATTGTATTATGTTCTATGACTTGCAGACTTTCTACTGGGTTTAAATATATAATTGCGAACGCAATGTCTCTAACTTATCAATAGAGGTTTCCTTGTTTGGTATGATATTAAATAAAGTTAACTGACCTTGTCTCCATCTGGCTTTTACAGGTACTATCGAATGTTTGAAGCTACGCAGGATGGGTTGGGCAGAAATGCTCCGGTCCATAGTATTCATGGCTCCTTACTTGCTGTGGGGGAGCTGTTGAGGTAAGAGCAGAAGTGAGTTTGTATTCTAAAAGCATTCCTTTCCACTAGTCAAACGCTCAAGTTTGTAACAGGAATATTTCCCTTAGAAGAACGTTTTTGTTCCAATGATACTCTGTTTTTTTTCTGTCTTCGTATTATTGTATCCAATGTGAAATAAATAGATAATTCATGTATCTTCCCCCCCCCCCCCCCCCCCTCACTCTCACTGTATGCCTGAACAAATGACTCGTGAAAATGAAAAATTGCATTGTTTTCTGCTATTGCCAGATTGATTTCATTGCATATCAGGTGTTAGAGTTGATGACTTAATGCTAGGGTTCGTTTACAGGAATACAGGTGAGTTCATGATGTCTAGGTATAGAGAAGTTGCTGAAATTGTCCTCAGATACCTTGAACATCGTGATCGCCTTGTTCGCCTTAGCATCACCTCATTGCTGCCTCGCATTGCTCATTTCCTCCGTGACCGCTTTGTTACAAACTATTTGACGGTAGGTAGCTGAGATTTTTTTAAACCAAAATTTATCTGTAAAATGTGGCATTAATTACTTTCTTGCAGATCTGCATGAATCATATTCTTACTGTGTTAAGAATACCGGCTGAACGTGCCAGTGGGTTCATCGCCCTTGGGGAAATGGCTGGTGCTTTGGATGGTGAGCTTATCCACTATTTGCCGACAATTATGTCTCATCTGCGGGATGCGGTAGGTCATGCTTTTATTTTTCTAAATTCGTTTTGCTACTATTGTGTTTACTGTTTAGTATTTTCTTGGTCTTATTTTTGGTAACTGAACTAGACAAGTGATTTCCTTTGATTATCATTTCCA